TTTATTTAAAAAATATTTTTACTTATTTATTTTTTAAATCATTATCTCTTACTTGGAGTGAAAGTCTCTCTATCCAAAAGAAATTTTCTGGAAAACTACTGTCGAAAAATTCAGTTGTCGCTGACCCAACTCCACACATGCCAGTGATGACAGTAGCTGGTTGACCCTTTGAAAGACACCAAGGAGTCCTGGCCTGGAGGAAACGGGCTATAAGGCCAATTTGGAGAAGGACAGAGAGCGTGGCTGGTTCCCCCATGCCTGGAGGGAAGCACTCACAGAGCAAAGGGGACAGGATATTAAGTGACATTTCCCTTGGTCCCTAAAGGGAAAGTGGGGAAGTAGGGCTGGACATGAGTCCAAAGGTTTCCTTCTCTCTTTTTTTTTTAACCTACGTTTCCATTTGCCAGCTTGATATGTGTACAGGCACAGAGGAGGGCATCATCCTAAAGTGAATCCTGACCTTAAGATTTAAACACAAAATCTACACACATCGATATTTAACACAGAGCCTTTGCATTTTTTCATCCTTGACAGCGAAGGAATAAATAAGGCATTCTTTTTAAGGCAAACATATTGCACAATGTTACATTCTCATGCAGGATTTTATGGGACATAAAATATATTATTTCATGCAGCAAATGAAATAAAGTCAAGAATACGCTGAAATGATTAAAGATGGTAAAGAGAAAAGAAAATGTAAGGTAAGCAGGTGAATGTAAAAGGATGTATGAGAAAAAAGACTCTCGAAACAAAAAACCCACTTTAGCATACTGACATGATGCAATACAAAATTATCAAGTAAGCCCACCACACTTTTGATATGGGTTTGGGAGAATTTAAAACAAAAAGAACTATACCAAAGCACATAAAGCATTCTTCAAGCTCTTCTTACCTAGGAATGCTGCCATGTTCATAACTTGACTAAACACACAGCTCGCAGGAGGTTCATCACCTGCAATACTTGCAAAATAAAAAGTGTTTCACCATTATGATAGTAAAATCGATAACCCTCTGCAATGGACTGAATGTTGGTGTCCCCTTAAAATTCATATGTTGAAATCCCAACTCCCAGTGTGATGGCATTGGGAGGTGGGGCCTTTAGGAGGTGATGGGGTCATGAGGGTGGAGCCCTCATGAATGGGGTTACTGCCCTTATAAAAGGGACCCCAGAGGCCTCTCTTGTCCTCTTTCTACTATGTGAGGACACAATGAGAAGATGGCAGTCTGAAACCCAGAAGAGAGAACCAACCATCCTGGTACCCTGATCTTGGACTTCCAGCCTCCAGATGTGAGAAATAAACTTCTGATGTTTATAAGCCATGCCATCTATGCTACGTTGTCACAGTAGCCAGAACTAAGACACCCTCCTAACTTTTCCTGTGAGCCAACAGATCGGAAGACAATTATCAAGTTACCTTATATATGGCGCATGCTTCACACCAGGTTTCCTGGATGATAAAAAAACCCAGAAGCTCAGGTTAAAGTATGGTCACTTGTGCATAGTTTAACTTCACCAGTGGCAAAGTTTTTGTTAAATCTACTGATGATCAAAGAATTACCCAGAGATAAACTTTACCTTTCAGCTGAATTTAATGGGAAAATTTTGTCATCTTCCACAGCTATAAAGTATCTATGAAGAAAAAAATAAAAATTTATAAAACAAAAAATTTTTTTAAAAACCAAAAATCATTTGTTTCCCAGTTTTATTGGACTAACCACATTAAATAATATTCATTTTTTTCTAATTGGGAAAACATTGTTTTACTACAATGCTTTACCTATAGATCACCTAGCTCTCTGAAGCTCAAATGCCATTATTAATAGTGTTTCTTTAATTTTCAAAACACTCCCCAAATTATGGCAACCACTATAATCTGGCAACTGGAAAACAAAGAAATATGACTGTACAACTTTGGGCAAACTAAAATTAAGATTCAAAGTTTCTAATTTCTCAGGAATATGAGTCCATATTTCTTAATAAACTGCAAGGAACTAAAATAATTTTCTAGAACTAAATAGGACTTGAAATAAGCAATTGTGGGACTTCTAATGTAATAATACCCATTTTATAAACGTACCAGACCCAGTCACACACATCAGAAAAACCCAACTATGAACTGGACTGTGAATGGAATCTTTAGCATGTTAGTGTCAAATCAGCAATTCTTGCAAGTAATGAGTCCGTATCCCAGTATTCTTCACTATCTGCTTTGCATAATTTATTCTCACTCTTGCTATTTACTTTGGGTAATAGAAAAGGGAAGAGAAATGGGAACTTTAGCAAGATTGAATTAGTAAACATTATTTTAAAGTATTTACAAATACATTCTTATGAATATGACATACACAGTCGTCCGTCTGTGTCTGCAGGGGGTTGGTTCCAAGACCAGTTGTGGTTACCAGATTCCGTGGATACTCAAGTCCCACGTCAACCCTCATCATCTAAGTTTACACATCCTCCAGTTCAGCCAACCGTGGACCATGTAGTACTACGGTATTTATCGAAACAAAAATCCACGTAAAGTGGACCCTCACAGTACAAACCCATGTTGTTCAGGGTTCAACTGTAACCTATGCACATTCTCCTGTATACTTTCACCTCTACTTGTGATATCTAATACAATGTAAATAGTTGTAAATACAACATAAATACTACGTAAATAGTTGCCGGTGCCCAGCAAATTCAAGTTTTGCTTTTTGGAACTTTCTGGAATTTTTTTCCCCAAATAGTTTTGACCTGCAGTTGGTTGACTCTGAGGCTGTGGAATCTGCAAAAGGGCCAATGGTACTATCAAAACTTCATAATCTCATCTACACTGCATCTGGGTCCTTAAATAATTAAATAAGAGAATACTCACACTATCCACAGTCCAGCTGAAGTAAACACGGTAAATACAAGAGGTAAAAACATCCACACGCTGCATTTCTTCCCGTCCATGCCTATATTCCTGAAATCAAATGAATAGGTGTTAATAAAGCAAAAATCTACCTCACTCTTTCAAGATGGAAAGGAAGTTTACTTTGACCAAAAAAAAAAAAAAAATGTATTTTATGACACCATGATTCAAATCACTACCATTACTGCCACCTACAGGCGGGCAATCCCTTCAGCAAGTAACACGGAAGACTTTTGTAGCATTAGTTTAAATATTCCAGAGTCTTAGTTGAGAGCTGACAGAAAATTTCTCCTAAAGACGTGTATCCTTAAACAAGCGTCACTATATTTAAGAAAAGACAAAAGAGTTTGGGTTTGGACTTCCAGGAGAAAAGCTAGGTACCAAAGGCACAGTCCAACCTGCTTTTAGTGCTTCATTAACATTTACAAGTTTCCGGCTCTATGGGTCTGACGTGTACACGTGTCTACAGTGTGGGAGGTAAGAGTGTGAGAAATAAATGGTTACTAAACAAATCCTCAGCGCAGGAAGAAATAACAAATGCTTTGCAAATCTGAACTCTTCTCGTGACATGTTACTGAGCAGCTATCTGAGAAGACACGCTCTGGAAACAACGTATGTTGTACAACTTTAAATCCGTGCCAACCAACACAACGGAAAAGAATACGGATGTCAGGCATCTTGGACATTCTATTTTAAAGTAAAAATATATGAATTAAAAATTGTCCACAAAAATGAAGTGAAAACCAGAAGCTTCAGAACTGTCTGCGAAAAATCCTTGGTACAGAACAGAGAGAAACGACTAATTATTGCTTTAAAGCCACCAGACAAAATCTATTTGTGATGGTGGATGCCAGCAATCCTTAGGGCAAAAAAGGCCTGTTCCAAGAAAATAAAGTACCCTAGTGACCTCCACAGGTGACTTGATAAACAGAAGGATAATGTGATTAAATGGCACCTCTAAGGAAATATCACTGCTCATTATTTTGGGTTCTACAACTACAAAAAGTCGCTTACTGGGTTGGAACCTGCGCTCCCACGTTTCTGAGCACCTCCACAATATCATCTTCTGTGTGCTGAGACTCCCTGACCCTTCGGAGTGTTGAGAACAGAGAGAGAACACAGCCTTTCCTTCTAGGCAGGTAATCTGGGAGGGCTCAGGAAGGTCGTAGTTCCCAGAACTGACCTACCTGAATAGGTAGATCTTTCGGACCAGGGGACAGACAATTGGACCTAATGCATTGTCTCTGAACAGTAATGCTGTAGACTAAAAACCTATCTGGGTAGGAGCATTAAATAAATTATAGAATCTATGAGTTGAAAGACATTGGAGCCAATTTTAATCAGCTTAATCCAATCCAATCCATTTCACAAGTATGGACAACCTACTTGTACCAGGTACTATACTGGGTGGTGAAAATACTGAGATCTAATGAATACAACTATTTATAGGTGACAGTCTATGCAATACATGAAAGCTATTATATGAGCCAGTGGTGCACGGCTACCCAGTTTACATAATGTGGGAAATGATGAACATTTTAAGCATACACAAGATAGCTTTTCAGTGTCTATTCATTTATGTCCAGAAAATTGTAGGCTCATAATAAGGCTATCAATTATGCTACCAAAAATAATTCTATCAGTAGCCAAGAAGTAGAGGGAGTGTAGAAAATAGGGATGTGAACTGAGCATGTGAACCAATTGTTCTGGATCTCCCCCTGAAAGAGGGCACTCTGACAGCGTGAGTGCAGCCGGAATGGTTCCACTGGAGTAAGAAGTAGGAGACCTGGTGCTCAGCCTTTGCTTTGCCAGTGCCTGACTCTGAGAGCCTGGGCCAGTTGTAGAAATCAGTACCACTGCTGCCCCATCTTGCTGCATGAAGACTGAATTCCAAGAGAGGGAGAAGGACCTTAAAGACTGAGGCCTCATAGTCTTCTGTTTCTAATTCTTTTAGGTGGTAGGTTAGGTTGTTTGTTTGAGATTTTTCTTGTTTTTTGAGGAAGGCCTGTTATCTCTATGAACTTCCCTCTTAGGACTGCTTTTGCTGCATCCCATAGATTTTGTCTGTGTGGGACGGATACATTAGGAGTTTGGGATTAGTAGATACAGATGTAAAATAGATAAATAACAAGGCACAGGGACTATGTTCAATACCTTGTAAAAGCCTATAATGAAATGAATATGTGTATATATATATATGTATCTATTGTATGACTGAATCACTATGCTGTACACTAGAAACTAACAACATTGTAATCAACTATACTTCAGTTAAAAAAATAAATATTATGGTAAAAAAAAATAAGACTGAGGCCACACAGGACAGTGGTACTTTGGAAATTAGCCCAAGTTTAGTATCTTATATTTTCACAGTATCAGGATGCTCCAATGCACCCAAAACTATCATCTGCAGAAGAACTCATGTGTATTAATCATTTTTACAGTAGAGTGGTGAGTAAATTACAATGTCAGCTTATTAATGTACAGTGAGAAACACAACTGCCAAAAGTACAAATACACACATTGGTTCCCCTTTTAGGAACGTCTGTATGGGAAACCAAAATTTGGAAGCAGGAGAGTAGAGCAAAGAGAGTTAACAAGATAATTCTAAGACCATGGCATCAAGTGACAATAGCTGTGTGTGCTAATCTCCTTTAAGGAAAGGCAGTATGGCGGAGTGGAAACAGTACGGCCAGGCACAGGACTGAAGCCCAGTTCTGTCACTCACAGGCTGTGTGATCTCTGGCAAGTTATTTCATCTCTTAAGCCTTAGTTTAATTATGGAGATAACTTCTGTTTTGTAGGGTTGTGCTGAGAATTAATGATGATGCAGGTAAAGTACCTCACACACGATACATGGTTGGTAAGTGGCGGCTCTGCCAGGTATAACTGCCAAGCAGATCAATACTCCTGTTAGAACAAGGTACTCGCCCTCCAGGGCAGGGCTCCGGACAGCTTAACACTATCTTCTTCTCTGGGCTCCTGCTTAGAACAATGCAGACACCCTTCCTGATAATAACAGTTTCTTTCTTCAGATGACACTCCAAAAAATTAATTAATACCTTTTCCTTACACGTATATTCAAGGCCCACATTCCTAAATTTCCACCCTTTTGTTATCTTTAATTATGCATTACTTTTCTGATTTTGTTTTGGAAGCAGCTAGGGTGGCTAATCGCTACTCTCCTAAATTGTCTTATTTTTACTAGTTTAATTCTCAAAGGGAAATTTTATATCCAAATTATGGAAAAATGATACTGTTTCCCTGCCTAATGATAGATGAAATTTCCCTCTCTTAACCCAAAGGGATGCCTTGACAGGTGAAATGAATAATGCTATGGATAACTGTATTATTAGCTTTCAATGGAACTACTTTGGTGCTTCTTCGGGATATTTACATTGGTTATCCTTTTTTTTTTTGAGAAAATTGCAAATTCACGTGCAGTTTTAAGAAAGAATACAGAAAGATCCTGTATATCCATCACTCTGTCCCCCATCCTGTATAACCACAGTACAACATCAACACTAAGATACTGACATTGATACAATCCTTCACTTTCTTCGGATTTCACCAGTTTTACATGCTCTTCTTTCTGTGTCTGTGTGTGTGTGCGTGCGTGTGCATATTTAGTTTATGCAGTTTTACTACATGTATAGATTTGTGTGGCTACAACCACAGTCAAGGTACAGAACATTTCCATCACCTCAAAGATTCTTAGTGTCACCCTTTTTATAACCTCACCCACTTCCTTCCTTTCGGCTCTCTGGCTCCCACTAATCTGTTCTCCATTTCTATAATTTTATCATTTCAAGGATGTTATACAAATGGTATCATGTAGTATGTAACCTTTAGGACTGACTTTTTTTCACTCAGCATAATTCCCTGGAGATCGTCTAAGGTTTGTGTTGATCAATCATTTATAACCTTTTATTGTTGGGTAGCATTCCACAGTATGGATGTACCAAGTGTGTTAATTTACCCGTACAAGATATCTGGTTTGTTTCAAGTTTTTGGCCACTGCAGATAAAGAAGATATGAACACTAGTGTAAGGTGTTTGTCGGAATATAGGCTTTTATTTTTCTGGAATAAATGCCCAAGATTGCAATTGCTGGGTCACACGATAATTTCATGTTTAGTTTTAAAAGAATTGTTCAAACTGTTTTTAGAGCAGCAGTACCACTTTATATTCCTACCAGTAATGTAGGATTGATCTAGTTTCTTCACATCATTATCACTATCATTGCTATCACTGTTTGTATTATCATTAAATAACTGGTATTAATTGGTGATAATTGGCACTGTCATTATTTTTCATTAGCCATTCTGATAGTCATATAGTGATATCTCATTGTGGATTTAATTTGCATTTTCCTGATGGCCAGTGATCTGAACATCTTCCTATGCACTTATTTGCCATCTGTATGCCCTCTTCAGTGAAATGTCTATACTTATCTTTTACCCATTTTCAACTGAGATTTCTTTTTCTTTTTTTTACAGTTTGAGAATTCTTCATATATTCTAGATACTAGTCTATATATGTGGTTTACAATTTTTTTCTTCAAGTCTGTAGCTTCCCTATCTTCTAAAATAGGGTCTTTGAAGAATTATTTTAATTTATTTTTGTGTATATGTGATAAAATAAACATAACAATTTTTAAGGTTTTTTTTTACCATTTTATAAGTGTACAATTCAGTGGTATTAAGTACCTTCATATTGTTGTGCAACCATCATCACTATTCATCTCCAGAACTTTTCCATCATCCCAAATTGAAACTCTAAACCCATTAAACAATAACTCTCTATTCCCCCAACCCCAGCTCCTGGTAATCAGCATTCTACTTTATATCTCTATGAATTTGACTACTCTAGGTACCTCTAGCTTATTTTATTCAGCATAACGTCCCCAAGATTCATCTATGATGTGGCGTGTATCAGAAATTCATTTCTTTTTAAGGCTGAATGATATATTGTTGTATGTATATACCATATTTTGTTTATCTATTCATCTGTCAACGAACACTTGGATTGTTTCCACCTTTTGGCTATTAT